GTAGAAGCCTAGGATAAAATCCTAAAAGGATTTGCTTTTTGTAATGGTATGCAAGTATCGGGGCCCAAAATGGTGCAGCTCGTCTTTCAGGGAGAAGCAAATCCCTGCTTCTGCAGGCAGGGGACCTAATGTGCTGTGCCCCAGAGCCTGCTCACCTGGGATAACTGCTCCTGTGTGAGAATGGGGGTGGTGTGGCCCCTCATCCCCAGCACACGCCTGTGCCACCCCAGCCCTGCTGTCCCCTAGCTGGCACAGCGGGCTGCTGCCGCTTGCCTAGGAGCAATTTGACATGAAAATTGTCTAATTTGGCATCTGTGATGAATAATGGATGGGGAGAGTTAGCGTGGTAAAAGAAAGACTTTTTGTGTCTCCCAAGGTAATAATCCATGCTTCCAATTTCCTGAAAGGTCCCGCCTTTTGGTTCAGTAATGAAATCTATTTTTCATAGTTTGGCCTTTCCGAGTTATCTGATTGGTTTCACTCTTCACATTTGTTAAAAAAAAAATATATTTTTTTGCTTTCTTTGAGTTTTTGCAGAGTGATTGTGCAGTTGGATGGACAGAGAGGTGTATTTACATGCATACAGAACCTTCAGGTTTATTAATCCCAGGATACTCGGACTTAACTTCATACAGGGCAAATCTTTTCTTCTGGAATCAGCAATACCGGTTTGTCTTGAAATAAGTTCCTCTGTCTCCAATACCAGCTTGTCTTTTCTTAGGGTTATTAAAGAATCAAATTTAAAATTAGCAACAGATACTAATTAATTTAATTCTCTTAATTTATGCATGTCTTGCAAATATAGGCAAGCTCTAAGCAGTAAACAGTTGACATAACTGGTGGTATATAAAGATATCTTCTAAAATTATGATAAGATAAAATGTATATATAATTATATATATAAATATTTGTGTCCTCTCCAAAGAACTGAGATCTGTACTGACTTCACGGACAGAAAGATGCCTGCCACGTGTTGTTTGAACAGAAATGTCAGGGGGGCTGAGCTTTCCGAATGTTGTCTGTTTGCAGCTGTTAAATGGATGGCTTAGGAGGTGTCCTTCTTAAATGGATTGCCGGTCTCACTACAATGCAGAGGCCAGGGACCACTACCAGTGACATGATATTTGCTGGCAGGAGGTGTCTGTTCCCACCCTTAGAGCACTTCTCTGGGGGACAAAACCAAACCCAAAGCCTGTAATCCCTCTAGGGGTGCCTTGCTTGTTTTGGACTTTAGGCATTCTGCTTTATAGGTATACCAGAGAGCTTTACACTCAGCTTTTTGTCTAAGAAATATGTGAAGGCCAACTTAAAGGAAGGTATAAATACTAAGGACAACTAGAGGTGATACCAAACATTATTTTTCTAGGAGGATTTATATTTATTTATAGCTTTCTAGCCAGTATTTTCCTGCCTCAACACAATCCTCTCAAGTACACTTACGGGACTGCATGGGTTGCATTTTAGAGTGTTTATCTGTCTTATCTTTTGACATTGGCACAGATGTGTCTAACTCTGATTTTTGTGCAGAACCATTAGGAGCCAGCGTAGTCTGGGTATGCGTCTTTCATAGCGTAATAACTCCCCTGTTGTCCATACTGCTATTCTGTAGTACTTCTGCCATTTTCATGTTTTGTATGCCTCGGAGCTGCTTGAGCTTCCTTCCCTCTCAGAGTATCTTGTACTGTTTTATGGCTTGTGTGGAAATTGTAGGAAGGGAGAGCTGCTTTCCGTAGGTGTAATATACCTCTCATTTGTATAAGAAAAGTTTGTTTTCTTTGCTTTGGGGTAGAATTTAAAGTCAGGAGGAGGCAGCAGATAGTAAAAGCAGCTTTTTTAATGTTTAAAGGCCAAATTCTGTCCTGATCTTGTACCCTGTCTTCAGATCTCACGGTTGAAGCCAAAGGGGATTGTACTGGCACAGTCAAATACAGAATATGCCCCACTACCCCTGAAATAAATAACAGCTGACACTGATAAACCATATTTACCATATTTCTTCAAAGGGCTTACCAGACATTAACTAATTAATCCGATAGTGCTTTTATTTAATGAGGTCTGAGTACCAGCATGCTCACGGAAGAAGTCTATTCTCTAAGCACTGCTTTCTGAGGAATACTGCCTTTTGTTTTAAGCAGCACACGCAATAGTATTTTATTGATTACTGTTTTTCTCCTACAGTGCCGCAGGGTTTTCGTGTAGCAACATGCTGGAGAACCAGCTTTACCTTGCATTGTGTTAGGTGCCATGACGTGGTTTGCTAGTACTTGACATTTCCATTTAAATCGTGTTTAAAACTCCATGAATTCTTACAGAAATAGAGAAAAGAAAGAAGTAACTAAGAAAACCATCAGTGTTAGGAAAAGGTATCCTGTCTCTTGTCTCAGGGTGGCTCAGTTTGCTGCAGTGTGTTGGGTATTTTAGCATGGTAGCTTGGACGCTTGAAATACAGCTAGATTTAGCTGAGCTTTGGCTCCAGGCTGAATCTTTTGTCCTTCCTGGGCGCTGCCTAGGCCTGCGAGGTTTGCTCTCTCCCTGGCACACAGCCCTTACCCAACACCGAAAGCAACCCCCCCGAGGCTGCCTGCAGCCCTTTGGGGCTCACCAACCCTGTCGCCCTGCTGATGGATGGCCGGCGTCTGAACAGTCCTTGGCCCTGGCGAGAGCGATGCAGCTGCCTGGGGTGGGAAACGGCCACGGCCCATGGTGGGGTGCCAGCCGGTGTCTGTCTGACCTTGGGGCCGGCTTCATATCCTGCTCCGGGCAATGGTTTCGCAGCCGGGCGAGGGGCGGACGCGCCGCACGCAGCAGGAAAGGCGGCTCGGTAAGCATCCGTTTTTACAGATCCCTCAGAGTCACGTTTTTTTATCTGTGCACGCAGAGCTGCGGTTATCAGCCGTCGCCTCCAAATAACTTGGGAACAAGACAGATTGGAGGCTTTCACCAGACAAGTTAAATCACGCGTCACATCGGTTGGGATTCTGCTCATTTAATAGCCAAGGTTTGGTTTATGGGGTTGCAGTGCCACTGACACACCTCGTGATTTATAGTTACAAAAGACCACTGAACTGCTAAGCTTTTTAAAAGCTTTATAAATGTGTAATATGGGGAAGACTGATTAAAAATATGGTTTTGGATGCAAGCGGCATCACGTACCCTGATTGTATATTAGCCAGTTACAGGTTATCCTTATTTCTCCTAGCCCCTCATATCATGAATTCTCTAGCAGGCTTCTTTCTGGTATGTCAAATGTATTGTCAGGTCTTGTTTTGGCTTGAGCAGTTACATTTTCATATGATGGTTTTAGCGTTTGTCCCAAGTGCCTTAGCACCGCTGTTTACAGGATGCAACAGGTCCTACTTTCCCTAATCCCTACTCCTTTTTGCTTGCTTTTTACTGACTAAAAGTGGCTGGTTAACAGTCACATATACCAGAAATTTCTGTTTACCTATATCATACTTAGTGCCCCTGAACTGCACCACTGTCAGGTTCCCCAAACTGCCCTTTATATGTTCTCAAGGCCATAACTCAAAGCAGAGACAAGGAGAGAAAGGGATTTCTGTCCATTTCCCTCTTCTCTGAATTGTCCAGTTTGGGGTGTGTGTGATAGGAGTGGACCCATGGATTGAAGGTGTCAGTGCTGGGGCCCACTGTATGAAATTTGCCCCTTTACTCCAAAGCAGGGTTAGTCTGGTTCTTCAGATGAATGCCCCCAGTCATTGATTTGGGCTTTTGCATTCCCAGCAAGGCTTGAAGTACATTTTCCTCTCTGTGCACCTGGATCACAGCACCTGGTTAAGTTTCCTCTGAAAGCAAATTATTCCATGCCCACCAAAGCCCGCACCCCCTGCCAACTACCACTGAAATGTGCCCCGCAAGGATGAACGTGGAGCTGTGTGGCTGCTCCGTGCTACAACCACAGCCCGAAACACAGACATGCAGATCCAGCCAAGGGAGCCTAAACAATATTGGGTTTATGCTAAATACAAGCAGCGGATTTTGTCAGGCTGAGGATAAAGCTGGCCTGAAATCACCAACCTATTTCTGCTGGACTAACCTCCACATCTCCCAGCTAGCCAGGCTGCCATTTCCCTTCTCATAAAGGCTTCCTTATTGAGTGTGAAGCACATGTGTTAGGAATATGGGATTTCCAAGTGAATATTTGAAGAGAAACCAAGGGAACTAGAGGAAACACTGAGCTGGCTTCTTGCATGTACTGGAGAGCTGTGTCTCCTGCTTCTTCAAGCCATGGGGACAGCCCCTGACCACAGGGCAGTGTTTCCCTTGTGAACACGCCTTTCCTCTTTTGCAGGATGGTGTTTTGGGCGCAAAAATTGCCTAAGCTGCAGCAGCTCCTCCGCCACCGGGGACTGCGGGTCCTTCATCATCTCTGTGTTGGTGGCCTTGAAAAGTCTTAAGACAGCCCCAGTCTTGCACTCCGTGACAGAGACCTGACCTGCCTTGGGAAGGAAATAATCACAAGGTCTGCTCTGCCCTTGTCCGGTTTGGAGCCAAAGATGTCACTTCACCACAAAAGCGGAGAGGAAGAGGAAGGGGGAATGACCTCACCCAGCTGCAACAGAGAGCACAAAGGGGATGAAACTGTTGGGGACAAGCTCAGCTGCTCTGGGAACTTCCCTTCCCCGGCCTTTCTGAAGGCGTCATCACTATCTTCAACCAACCAAGCAATCTTCTGTCTGACGTCTCCTGTCCGTGTCCGGTCACCCGCCCAGTCTGGCCCAGTCCCCGCTCTCCCGGCGCAGCCTTCCCTCGGCAGAGGGACACCCGGACCTGTGCAATGTACCTCCCTGGCTCCCTCCCAGCCGCTCCTTTTCCATGTCCTGGCACCGGCCGCCTTGGCTGCCTTCCCTGGCACGTGCCGGCCTTTGCTGCACCTGCCGATGTTCTGCCCAGGTGCAGTTCAGGGTCTCTCCTTGGGTAGCGGTCTTGGATATGACTGAGTCTTGGGCTAGTTGTGAGTCCGTCCACCTGTTTTTCACTGGAAGGTGGAAGATATCTTGGGGAAGGGCTGGTATAACACAGTCTGTATCACACATATGTTACTGGAGGTAAGACAACTCCCAAAGAATCCAGATGTTCTGTGCCTTTTTTAAATTGACTACTACGTAATGAATTAAAACTAGGCTTATTCAATTTTTACGAACTTCCAATTTCCTTTGATGTAGGCAAAAAAAAAAGTAAAGGCTTGGTATTGGCAAAATTAATATCAGAATAATGCATTCTACATCCAAAGGAATTAGAAACAACTAATAGGTGAGCTACAGACACATGTACGTGCTTTAGTTGTGAAGGAGATCATCCCTTTGGATATTTGCTGCCTATTTTATGCCTGTGGATTTCCTTGTTTCCTTGATTCTGTTAACCTCCCAAGGTGTGTGAACGTTGGCAACTATCAGGTGTGTAAATACCAGGAGATGAGATCAGTTTTAACTCGGGGAAACTAGGAGTGGGAAGTGAAATTACTTCCCCCCCTCAATAGTGAAAGGGTTTGGGTCTTATTTTACTGGAACTAATTAGCTTAACTAATTAGAGACTGGTTTCGGTTTGTCCTGCTTGTGCATTAGTCATCTGATGGGAATAAGAGCAGAGAGCCCAGGGAGCAGAAAGACTTATCAAATTCTTTTATAATATCTCAATTGGCTTGTCTTTAACACACGGTGTGCAAAAAGGTATGACAGCAAAAGTATGATGAAGTATGATCAGTGATCTAAGACTCAGCAGTCATTTGCAAATTGCAGTTACTAAATCTTTGGTAGTAGAGGGTTTGGCTTTGGTAAATACTAAGATAAATTCAGGTACAGTTTCCAAGGTATTTTCATACTGTGAGGTCAGCTACCATAACTTGCGATGTTACAGCTGTTTTTTTTCTCTTCCTCCATCCCTTCCCTACTGCAGAGGAAAATTCTTTTTGAAGTCTTAGGACAGAGCGCTTCAAAGCAAAATTATAACTTTAAACGTAAAGTTCCTGCAACTTGAATATCCCTGTGTCTTCTGAAGGTGAAGAATTCTAATGCTATCATCACTAAGAAGATGATAAAAAATAATAATGAGGTGTCAGTCTCATTAGCTTTTTTAGAGGACTGATGAGAGAAATTGCAGAGTGAAGCAGTTAAAAGTTGGAATAAAAATACATTTATTACCTTTTTGAAATCAATGCATGTTCCAGAAATGTTCAGCAATAGGCAGCGTGCTTTGAACAGAGCACTCTGCTGATAGATTTCTAAACCTACTGAACCAGAATTTAAACGTGAATATGCATGTGTCAAGCTCCAATAGGTGCCTCTAATAGCTAGAGAGGAATTGATAAAGTTCATCCTCAAACTTCACAAAAAACCCTAATCTGTATTTTCCCAAACACTGATCCAGACCCTCTGTGTAGTTTGATCCAGCATCAGGTGAGGCTTCGTCCTCTCCTAAGAGGCAGTGGAGGAAGTTGAAACAAGTATTGTAATGTATTCATTCATCAGCAAAGTGCCTACAAAAATATTTGGAGCATAAGAATCCTTTTCTAAGATAAACCTATTGCTATCAATAAGTGCTTTGAGGCTGCCGTTTCACTCTTGATTTCCATTCCAGCTTCTCCATTTAGATTGTGTCAAAAGATAAAATTTTATGTGGCCTTTCTCCTGGCCACTTCTATCTCTTCTCCACCTCACCTAACCTTCATGTAAGAATAGATATATTAGACACTAGAAAACTCGTATTTTGCTTCCAATTTCATTTAATCCTATGCTTAATGATGTTAAAAATTCACAGAACCTCTAGAGATCTCTTGGGTTCCAGGCTCTACGTTTACAGTTTGCATGAAGGTAAAATCACACGGGAAATGCTCAGGAAAATGGGGTATTTTCTCTGCCATAGAAAACACCTTCCTCTGATAGCTGCAGAATCCTTGATTAGTCTTTGTCTCTCACATCCTTGTTTAGGGATGTTATCTGTGCCTGGGTGGTGTATTTGCAGCAGGCTCCAGCCAGTGATTTATTTCCTACTGACTGTCAAAGAGGAAGGATTATATCAAGATGCTGATTGCTGAACTGTTCTGATTGCTTCATTACTGGCATTTTGGAGAGAGCTGGGAGAGGAAGCCAGGGAACTGGTAGTCTCAGGGTTGACACTCTCTAAACACGCTGAAAAAGATAGAGAGGAGAGAGAGGGATTTTCCTGCAGTGCAATAGGAATTGGGCAGTTCCTCTGGCAACAAACTGCTGTTGAAGGGATTTGCATCATCTGAAGGACCTGTGTCCTTGAGACCGGGAGGCCAGAAGTCGCTCCCAGCTCTGTCCTCAGTCCAAGCTGTGTGATGCTAGTGAAAGGCTTGGAGGGCATGCAAAGCAGAAAGCCCCCTCACAAGTTCTGCTCTTTCCAGCCCAGTGCATCCATACCTATTTTTTGCCAGCCAGGTGACTGTGGGCATGGTATTCTAACTCAGGAGACCACAGTTCAGGTTGCAGATTCAGGCTGCAATTGCCTCCATGGCGCTTCACCCTGGAGGAGTTTAGCGCTACTGAGCCTTTGGGTGCTGCAAAATATCTCTAGAGGTCTAAGTGTCCCTGTTACCCAGAAAAAGGCTGTCACCCAAGTAAAAAGGCATGGCTAGAACCCCGTTGCAATACTGCAGGTGCGGAGAGGGAATGGTTTTGTGGGGCCTCAGGACTGTGCGAACACAAGTTGTGCCCACTGGAGGAAGAGGAGAGCTTCCCTGTTCATCGCCATCAGATGAGTGCATGGGGTTTTTCACCTGCCATCTGCTGAATGTGGGAATCTTCATGCCATCAGCTCTGTGCTCACATGCTGGTGGCTTAAAATCTGCTTCCCCATGTAGGGCTGAGTTTCTCCTCAGCATGCCTGCCTAGAAATCAAAAAGCAGTCACATAGCAATTTTATTCTATATTTCTATGCAAATTAATGACACTATTTATCAGACGCTCTCCAGGGCTAAATTCTCCAGCTAAACCCAGCCGGTTTGGGGGACCAGGGAATGTGTGGGCAGGACTAAGAATGGGTTCAGAAGGTAAGGTCTCCTTCTCAGGCCTGGGAAGGTGGGAGAAGAGCTGTCGAACAAGTGTAATGATGGTGGAACTGTTCCCATGATGTGGGCAGCCGTGGAAGGAAGAGGAGCCTGCTGGGCTTTTGACATCTATTTTTGGAACTGCCTGTAATTTTAACTGCCTTCAGCACAGCTCAGGCTCCTGTCTTGAACGATCTGTTCCTTCACAACAGGAGGAAAGGATTGCTCTGCCCACTATAACATATCTAGTGCAAAATTTTTTGGAGGTAGCGTTTTGATTAGAGACAACCACATTGGATGAATTATTTCTCCCTTTTCTTTGATGTGAAGATATTTAAATGTACATCTCATCCAACTAGAACTGACCTGGGGTCATTCAGATGAGGGTTACTGACGTAGTGCTGTCTCTTTTAAGTCTAGCAATACCTGTAGTGACACAGCCATGGCTCAGCATCAGCATTCCCTCTCTAAACATGCCTGTTTTCAAGCATTTATGTAACTGCTGCTGGAATTTCCTCCTGACTGGTTGACACTTGTCAGTTCTATTGAAACTATTTCAGCAAATCAGGAGAAAAAAAAATTTCTGTTGCCTAGAATGGAAAAATCTTTTTTTTAAGGTGTTGGTTTTGGTTTTGTTTTTTAAGAGAAAACTGAAAATGGTTATAGCTGAAGAGGTTGCCCAGAGAAGCTGGTGACCCAACTGGGCAAAGCCATAAGAAGCCTCTGCAGGAGGCTGTCTAGGTGCCTCCCAAGGTCCCTTTCAGCCTCAGTGGTTCTGTGACTGTATGAACTCTGAATGTTGGCAATGTGAAGGCTATGTGCTCTCGAAAAACTGTTTTAGATATACAGCACTGGGGATAACGATGCCTGCTCAAGATTGGCAGTATGTCAAATGCTTGAGGTGAGACAGGATATTTATTTGCAACCTCCACACCATGTTGGAAGGAGCTAGTTTTTGATGGTAGTGCTGTACATCTGTCAAATCCTACCACGTTGTTTACTGTGAGTATGTAGTGCATGTGTACATTGCAGTACACGTCTACAATATATATTCATAAAGTATGCAGCATGCTCTTAATAGAGTAATGTTCCTGTAGGCATTATCTGAACTCATACCGATGTGACAAGCTGCTCATGATGCTGTGGATCTACCTCCCTCCAGCAGAGCCTGCAGGGTGCCACAGAAATGGCCAGGAAATATTGTCAGTGGGCAAAGTTCTACTTTTTCAGAGGAATTGTGCTCAAGTTTGCCAGGATTCAGTTTGTCAAAAGGTGTAGTAAACACTAAATATCGTGGTGGCTGTTTACTAGGTAGTATGCAGAGGGAGATAGTAAAAGCCATGCACACCAAGTGAGAAGGTTGTTGTGCAAGTCAGTACCCAGCAGCATATATACCAAACGTTGATGCTAGGTTAGTGCTTTGGCTCAGAGGACCTTCAGATTTGAGCTACCTCATCTCCCTCTCAAACACCTTCCTCCTGGAGTGATGTTTGACTGTCCACTTGGAATGAGTTGCATGGAGGAAAAGCCTGTGTTTCTCTATGCCCATGTACCCATTGCAAGGTATCCCACTGGCTTGTTGGCTCCAGCTTCTTTGGAAAGGTGTCATCTTTCTAGCGGTGGCTGCTACTTGCTAGTGATTGCTGCTGGAACAGTTGCTCTCCAAGCACCCCTGCAACCACCATTTCGTTCTCATGCATGTTCCTGCCATGTCTGCCTATAATGAATGCTGAGCAGCCACTTAGAGCATCAGCAAAAGTCTGTGAATGTCAGTGCTGCAATATTCAGTTGCCTGCATGAAATGAAACAATAATTTTGAATATGTGAACCTTCTTCTGTGGTTTACTTGACACAGCATCGGTATTGGCTCGGTTCTGCTGTTGTTGCCTTCTAATGTGATTCTGTGCCGTGTGAAATTATGAAGTCAGGTCCACAGAGTATAACCTCAGCAGTAGATATTTGCAAGACCGGGTCCCAGCTAAACCATAAAAACTCTCTTCCATTTCTTTGCTTCCTCTTTCACATGCCTTTCCAACCACA